TCCAACAAAGAAAACACCTCGCGCACTCTATGATCGATAGGGATTTCGGAAGCTTGAAAAAGTTTGAGGTTCCTCCATCGCCATAGGCGCCATGCCGTAAGACCAAACAACGAACACCAATCATCTCGGGCCCGACTCAAATCACCACTAAGGTTTTCAACTAGCCACCGTCGAATGTCCAGCGTGAAAAAGACACCCCAGTAGCGGCGAGGCAAAAGATTTTCCCACATACGAGACGCCTCCTTGATTGTATATGTATGGGAAATATATAATCAAAATTTTTGTACAAGTAATTTGGAAAAATTGCACTATTCGTTCACTAACTATACCCTCGTTGCACTTTCGTCCTTTAATTGTTTCCGGTTTACAATTGGTACACTAACTTTTTTTTTTTGGTAATTTTAGTCCAACATGACATTGCGGTGCTCATTTTCGCCGGAATAGCTGATGTGGCGCCCAATCAGATCGGAATTCCATTCTCGGCGTGATGTGGCACGAGGTGGCGCCTAGTCAGATTGGAAAAATTACACTATTCGTCCACTAACTTTACATTCGTTGCAATTTCGTCCTTTAATTATTTCTGATTTACAAAATCATATGAAAAAAAAAATATTAAGAAAATAAAAAAAAAGAAAAAGAAAAAGCTTTAAAAAGAAAAAAGAAAAGACATGTGGATAAAAAATTAACAAAAAAAAAGAATATTAATTAATAAAAAATCATTTTGATTAATGATTTTAAACAAAATAAAAAAATATCTTTTTTTAAAAAAAAAAATAAAAATACATTTTTTATTTAATTAAAAACAAAATGAAAAACAAAATAAATGTCTAATGAGAAATAAATATTTTTTACTTAATAGTTAAATATTTAATAAAAAAGAAATATTTATCATTTTTTTTGTTTAATGAAATTTTTTTATTTAAATAAAAAAATATTTAATAAAAAAAATATATAAAACGAAATAAATATTTTATTGAGTAATAAATATTTAATAAATATTTTTTATTAATGGTTAAATATTTAATGAAAAATTAAATATTTAATAAAAAATATTTTTCATTTTTGTTAAATATTTCATTTTTGTATTAAATACTTAATCATTAAATAAAAATATTTATCACTCATCATAAATTTATTTCGTTTTTATTAAATATTTCGATTTTATTTAATCATTAAATATTTTATTTTTTTATTAAATTAAAAAATTATATTTTTTTTTTCTTTTGATTTTTTCTTTTTCTTTTTAAAGCTTTTTATTTTTCGTTTGATTTTTTTAATATTTTTTTCTGATTTTGTAAACTGAAAACAATTAAAGGACGAAAGTGCAACGAATGTAAAGTTAGTGGACGAATAGTGCAAATTTTCCGATCTGACTAGGCGCCACCTCGTGCCACATGACGCCGAGAATGGAAATTCCGATCTGACTGGGCACCACATCAGCTATTCCGGTGAAAATGAGCACCGAAATATAATTTTAGACTAAAATTACCAAAAAAATAAAAAAAGTTAGTGTACCAATTGTAAACCGGAAACAATTAAAGGACGAAAGTGCAACGAGGGTATAATTATTGGACGAATAGTGCAATTTTTCCCAAGTAATTTCTGCAATCACTAAAAAAGAAAAAAAAAATATGTTGTAGTTAGGGCGTGATTTGATACGAATATATCTACTCAAGACGAGTTTTTTTTTTTTTTT